ATAGTTATGCCCTTAAAACAGATGTCTAAAGTTGTGTCTCCTTTCAGATCAGAGCTAGTGTACTGTCAAGAAGAGATCTTGCAGATCTGTTTGCTCAACCAGCTCAAAACCCCAACTATCAGCTCTAAACCCTGACATAATCCAGTGTGGCCCATTGAAGTCAGTGAATGGGGCAGCCCAAGATGCAGGTTAGAGTAACCAGGCCAAAATCAGATTTTCCAGGTCTTTACAGATTAAAGAGAACAGCAGAAGGGAATTGGATAGCACTATTATTTCAAAGTAAGGCTAGCCCTGCATCAAGCCCAGCATACTATAGCTGTTTCTCCATGGTTCTGATCGTGACAAGGTAAAATGATAAAACCAGATGAGGGTGTACCTTGCAGTGAACTAAACAGGGTCAGGGCTGGTCTTTGGCCTCAGGGACAGCAGGCACATCCACATTGGAGGCTAAATGCTCTTAAACTCTGAAAGAGAGTGGCTCCATCCAGGCCACTTGCTGGGAACAATCTCTGGCCCGTGCTAATATTCAAGCCATGCCAGAGACCTGCCAATGGACTGGGATAAACAGGGACCATGATAACATTTAACACCATTAAAGTTTTCCAGTGGCAGGGCCCTGATGCTATTCAATTGACATAGCCAGTAAACTGAATATAGCTAATTTCAGAATGACAAGTGATCCAAACAACTCACAAGACTTTTTCTTCATCCTGAAGCTTTGAATACATGCAAGATTGCCCTTGTGAGTCTCAGATTTTTCCACACAGCTTTGACATCCTTATTTCTTGCCCTTCAGACACTGGTTTTTGTTCATAAACTGTCCAAGGCATGGAGCACATCTACCCCTAGAGCTTTGCCTTTGCCATTCAAAGTGCAAGCGTGGCTCCTTAAATCCATGGGGTGAGATGTATCTCTGCTCACCTTGGCCACCTTAAAGGTAGATCTGAAATAAATATCTGTGCTGTCTCTCTTTAGTTAATAGAGACTGGCACTTGTGAAAGATAATTTGTCTTATCCAAACATAGTTTAAGACAGGTGAGATGAATCACCTCTGGAACTGCCCCTCCTGCTCAAAGGATTATGGAGAGAGCCTAGATAATTCTTTCAATCTCTGCAATTAATTTTTCAGCATCTAACATGAGGACCAAAACCAAGATATGTGTTTGCCTGACATAGCAAGGCCCAGATTATTTCATATTTATCAAATAAATATAATATTGTCATCATGCCTTTTGATGTCAGAAACAAGTCCTCTTGCATAGCCTCCGAATGAGGTAGACTCTGATTAGGCTGTTAGGTTTCACACAGTTACCCCTGGAGCCCAAAAAATTATGTGGCCTTAAAGTGCATCTTCTCAGCAGGGCATCCACTATGGATTACAAGGTGTCAAGAGAGGGAGAAGCCACTGTGCCTTTCATTAGCTTACTATCCTGACAGTAATAAATGAGTTTTCAATGTGAATTAATCTGAGGTATCTCCCTGTACCTAGTTTTATTGTACATTTATGTATATAATTAAATATAGCTTCGTTAGGTTCCATTTTCTCTCTCTAAAAATACTTAGTCAGTATAATCAGTCACCTTTTTTAAAATTTGTTCTGTTAATCTAAGCGCATTCACAAATAGTACCCACAGCAACACCCAGAAAAGGTACAGGCAACACATTTGAGAGTAGTCATTTTGCAATTAGCTTCCTTGAAAATGAACATCACATTTCCATTTCTACTTAAAAATAAGAGTAGTGGCAGGGAAAAGGAATGTCTCAAAAGGACAGGTTTTGCCTGTTTATTTGTGAGGGTATGCAACTAATGAGATTCTAAAGTGAAATGATACACTTATGCATTTGGCTGCTATATAAAGGGAATTAGTAAGTTCTTTCTTTTACTTGTTTGTCTTTGCTTGTCTTGCTTTTATTTCCTTTTTTTAAATTTTTTTTTATACAAATGACATCACAGTCCATGGTGGAAATTCCTGGAACCTGTGGATGCAAGTCCTGCACTGCCCTGGATAGGGCTAGAGGACAGGAATTATTGGTAGATCTGTAAATAAAATCACAACACAAACCATGTGCTAAATACTGGGTTTGTTAGCTATACTCTCACCTTGTTTCATCATTCGGAGGAAACTGTTTCTATTTGAAAGAGTATCTCAAACCACTTAGAGCAGCAGAATCAAGGTGTGGTGAACTCAAGCAGAAGGAATATTCTTACATAATTTTTTTTCTTCAGTACCTTACATTTCATGCTAGAATGACTGAATCCCACAAAAAAAAAAAAATGACAATACCTCAGAAATGTCTTTTCTGGCTTTTGCAGTTTCATAGAGATCACTGCAGTTTTCATATGTTAACATTAGATTATCTGTATTTTATTAAAAATATTCCTATACTTTTCCATGCATGCAGCTCTTTCCCATACTCTTTTTGGTATTTATGAAGCCAGCTACGCAGACTTCACAGGCAAATCACCTTTAAAAACAAATGAAGGTCTGTAACATTTACATCCTATGTATTTTACAAAAGGAGAAAAGCTGGTTTCAGCTTCTCTTCTCTTTCTGCACCACCCCACCCCCCAAAACCAAATAAGAATTGTTTCTCTCAAGTCTGTCCCTCTCCAGAAAAATCTGGCCTACAAAATGGCTTTCTCATAACTCAGCAGACTAGTTTAGTGCTCAGATGGATTTATCATTAACCACATAAGCACATGTTGTCCATTCTGTCCGACCTAATGAACATGCTATAAATAAAATACCTCTAAAAGCAGGTTACACTATACTTATCCAAGCTGTTGCTGCAAGTCCTTGTAACTCCCAAACCCACTTATGTTAGAAACATTAATCACTTGATTCTAATTCAAAGCATCAGCTCTCTACAGCTGAAACTCCCTAACACTTGACTTTGGCTAGACCTCTAACCTCAACTTATCACTTTCAGGCATACTCCACATTTTCTTCTCCAATCTGTCACTAATGTAGAAAAGACGTGGGAAGTCGCTTTCAAAAGGTATTTTTAACCTAGGATTGTCTCATTATAAAGAGAAATAAGTAAGGAAACTCTAAAACCTTTTCCACTTTACTTAACATAGCAAACTGAAAATACCAGAAGGATATTTCACTACAACTCGTGTTATTTTAAACCTAAGCAACATAAAGAAAAAGGAAACTCTTTTAGAAAAGACACCATGAGTGTAATTCCTACCTATCCCACAAATATTTCATATGATCCTAGGATTATCTGTAGAGCTTTGTATTGTCCATCTTAAAGGAAGGAAACTGAATCAAGTCATCTATTAATTCTAACTTTCCTGCTCATTCATTTCAAGTGTACATGCCAGTTTAGGTTGTTTATACTTATTTCATCTGACAATTTGGAGCTCATATTCCCTCTTGACCAAAGGTTTTAAAAGCACAGAGAAACAAAAGATTAATTGTAGGATATTATTTTTAAACCTCATATGCTTTAGTCTGAAATAGGAAGACAAAGATAAAACTCCCAGAAGCATAGCCACAGCTAATGAGACCCTGAGAGGAAATGATCACACATTCTAAGTTCTTCTGATGGATGTCCTTCTAGCCTTATTAATTAGAACTTTGTGATGTTGATAAATCACTGAAGTATGATAACAGATGAAGGTGAGTTTGGGTGTAAAATGATCCATGGTGAAGGATTACAATGAAGGAGAAAAAGGAGGGGGAGCCAAATACAGTTTTATAAACTGCATCCTCAGCTTGTGAGGACTTGTAGATAATAAATGTCATTCCTTTTCCACATTATCTAGGAGATTAAGAATGTTTCTTGATGTATAACTGCTGGGAAATCTCTGTAACACCTTCTCCAGTTACCAGGAGGTTTACATTACATCAATTGCTTTATTTTTCCATCAATTATGATTTCATTTACAAAGAGGAACTTAAAAGTACCTTTCTTCTTTTAACCTTTTTTTGAGGAAGTACGCTCCAGAGGCAGGAAAGGAGAATCCATGCAAAACACTGATGGTTTTGACCTTCCAAGGTTTGTCAGATTCTGCTTTGATATTCCAGCAAATTGTCTAGTATGACCTTATCCTGCTTGGATGATCCTATGTCACAGAAGTGTCAGCAAGGCCTCCACATCTCCAATCACTCTATATGCAGAGTTGTTAGTTTCTATATTCAGCAAAACCACCTAGTCATCAACCTACATGTATCCCAGTTCGCGGTTTTCAAGGAAAGCATTTTCCAGAGCACTTCAGAAGTAAATAAATGCATTACAGATACTATTACTGATGAATTGATTCCATTCTCTGCCTTCTACTAGTGGTTTTTATGCTGCAGAATACAGCCCTGGTCATCTGAAGCAAAACAAAGTCATGCTTATATCCTGCAAATTCAAAATAGAAGGTTATTAAAATGAGGCAGGTTGCCAATAAGGCAAAAATTTATCTTAAAATAATGAAAGCCAGAGAGGTATCAGACACCTAGGAGAGAACAAACAGAAGTGCACTGGACGCCTTTGAGGATACTCTCAACTGAAATAAAAATCTGGGTGCTTCCCATGTAGCTTTTAAGTAGTTTGTGCCACAACACGGAGAGATCTCCAAGCTGATGCCCTACCAAGCTGGGTATGCTATACCATCCTACAGGGCAGCACTTGATAGGGAAATGCATCAGTCTGGTCCAGATGCAGTGCAATTATGCAAGGTTCATCGCTTGTTGAACTGATGAACCCTTTCCAGGGGCATATTAGCTTGGATGTACTGTGGGTGTTAGTCTTACTCAATGTGGAGCCAGCCCAAACACATTCATACCATACTGTAGTATAAATTTGGAATTGGGTGGTCAGGCTTTGAAGTGATGAGATATTCCCAAAGAAAATAAGGCAAATTTATGCCTGTAATGACTGCTTTGTACTCCATGAAATAGTGGGGACAGCAAATCTGTTATTTCTGTTCTTGCCAACATTTCTGCATGTAGCTGTGTTTAAAGGGAAGTACTGAAAACACACATGAATGGACATTAAATTACAGAATTTTCCTTCAGGCTTTCTAGGCCATCATGAGCATGAACAGGAGACAAGTACATGTTAACATAAATTCCAAGCCGAGATGTGTCATTTTTCCCATACAGAAACTGAAAGAGTGGAGAAGAGGGGAAATTAAGAACAAAAGACAGCAAGAAAAGAAAAGAAAGGGGGGAGACCCACAAAGCCCTAAAAATAAGCTCTAGCATCTGAGAAAAAATAAAGCAGAATACCTGGTACCCAGTGTTGCAGTCTGAAGTCTCCTGTGTATTGATGTATAAATCTGTGGCATGGAAATGAGTCAGAATTACTGTCCCAGAGAACACACTCCACTGGAGCAGCCTAACCCATCTCAGGGGGATATGTAAGACTTACAGACTCAATTCTTACCATATGATTTTTGCCAGATGTCTAGCTATAGACAGCTGATCACTAACAGACTATTTCAAGATAGACTTCAGATGAGACATACCACTTCCACGCCAAGAGCACTTAATTCTTAAAAGTCAAAGAATTGAGTGCTGCAATCAGCATAGGAATATCCTTAAATTACACCTTCATGCTACAAAGCCTCTGCTCCTGAAATATGGAGGCAGCTCAAAGAAATAAAAGGGTATCCAGACCCTCTTTCCATTGCTCTTGAATGAAGTATGGTATAGATTTCTAGATCTGGATTTAGGCCTGGAAGCACATCTGGATATGTCTATCCTTGCATACATTAGATTTGTGCTACAGTAAAGAAATCATAACTTCCACAAATACCATACATGATGAAGAAAATTTCTGGCCTGAGATTAAATATTACCTCTTATTATGTTACATTGAGGATGACTCCCTCAAAGATGCTGACATCAAAGCCATGAAGTGTCAGCTGCAGAGCCTCTGATGGCCATAGCAAAGTTCCTGTAAAGCCAACTGAAAATCCACCATCCTGGGCTAAGACATCAAAATCTTCCCGAACCACATGGTTGGTCTGCATTTGGCACAACAGCATAAAAAATGACACCTGTCAACCTATCAACCAGAAGTCATCTCACTGAAATATTCGACCAGTATCCCTTACCTGCAGGAAGGGAGGAATTCCAACACAAGTAAAGAAGGATTCTGGCAACACAGAATGAGACAAAAGAACAAACAAGCTCACCTGGCACAGGAGGTGTGGCTAAAACGCTGCTAGATGTCAGCACCAGTGATGTGATGATCATGAGGAAATCTACTCCTTCCTGAAATGGTATTTGTTAAGTTGAATAGCTAGAAAAAATCCTCTAAAATTGAAAGTGGAGCTACCTCTTGTTCCTTCATGGGAACAGCCCTGTCTCCAGCAGCAGCACTGCTGCTAGGAAGCATTACATAAACGAGTTCATGTCAGGTCACACTCAGAAAATGGTCAGAGGTAGAAACACTCCAGCAGGCATTATTTTTCCACAGCCAGCCTCAAGCAGGCAAATTTTTTAAAATAGTAAAGTACCATTGTGGTTGCAGACACCATATATTTATAGCAGGATGGCTTTGCAGTCAGTTTGCACCACTGAGACAACCACCATCTTTGATGCACTAAGGCGATGAAGGTGACATAAATTTTCAATGAACAGTTATTTAAATTAAGGCACACAGCTCACTGGGAGAACTTCTGTGGAAACCTCCAAGATCTGAAGCCAAAGATCTGTTCCTAAATCCATGAAAAACAGAGAGTCCCATGAAAGTGCAGACTTCATGACTCAAGGGGCTCAACAGGGAGAGGGTTTGCTCTCTCAGGAACCTACAGGGCACAAGTAGGGATTCCCAAACCAGGCTGCATCCTGAGCACAGAACTGGACATGGTCATAGACCTGGAATTGCACAGGAAAACTGTACTGTGGGACCAAAAAGGGCTTCACAAATAAGAAATTTTAGTAACTGTTGCTCTTAAGGGATTAAGTTAGATGCTTCTAGTCATCTCTTGTTAAGGGTTAATTGTTTTCAATATCTCAGACTTGCATTTCTACTCTTAGGAAGGTGATGAATTTGAGCAAGAGGCTTACCATATAAGCAAGGTGTTAGCAAACAAAAAGCAGGACAAATAAAACCTATCTGACAACACCAAAGCTCATACATTTTGCCCCAACTTGTTATCAGATGGCAAACCGTTCTCAGTGACTCTGGAGGGCATCAAAACTGGCCATTGCAAGGAAGCGTGGTCAAGCTCTGTGAGAAATATAATGAATCTATTTATAACACAGGTCTTCTTGGATTTTAGCCATTAATCATTGGTCAATCTGTATACCCAGAACTCAGCCTTGCCAACAGTTTCTGGACTCTGAACTAAGACTCCTGAATCAAATATCCCCTCTTCCTAACTTGTGGCATGGTAACATTTCAACCTGAAATCCACAGTGCCACAGAGGAGTCTTTCATTTGAACAGGCAGTAGCAGAGCTGACAAGGAATGCCAATGCTTAGCTCTCATACATTGCTGTTTTTGAGTAATGTGAGTCAGGTTGGGCTGGATAGATGAATACAACTATGGGACAGGTATGGGCATGGAGATATCTGATACAAGAAACTCATCCGGCTGAGAACATCATGACACATCGAATGTCTCCTTCACTGTCTATCCCAGCTTCCTGAAGAGCGCTGAAATTTTGTGCCCCAATCCCCATCTTTACTGTCTGCACTCCAAGACATTGCATATGCACTCCAAGACATATTGTCTACATCTCCAAGACATAGTCAAGGTCAGAAGAAGGCAATGGTTAGAAACTATGATCCTCTGGATCAATGGAAGTAGAAAAAAAGAGTCTCATTAAAATAGCAGAATGAATTCCTTTAGGAACTGAAGACTACTTCAAATCTCATCTCCTTTCACTAAAAGTGTGTGGTGCAATTCTTCAGCATCCTATGTGAAATAAAAGTGCAGCTACTGCTGTAAAAACAATATAAAATGTTTCTATAAATATAATACCAACCAAATGAGGGCCATATAGAATCTCCATCCTTCAGTGGAAGCAGGGGAAAACATAACAAAGAATGAGGAAAAGGCAGAGGTACTTATTGCCTTCTTTGCCTCTTTAATTGTCAGACCAGCTGTTCTCTGGATACCCAGCCCCCTGAGTTGTAATGCAGGGACAGGAAGCAGAATGAAGATCCCATAATCCAAGAGGTAATGGTCTGTGACCTGCTACACCACTTAGAAACACAAAAGTCTATAGGGTTGGATGGAATCCACCCAAGGTTACCGAGGGAGCTGGTGGAAGATCTCTCCAAACCTGACTAACTGTGGAGGTCCCAGTTGACCAGAAGTTAGACAATACGATGCCCACCTACAAGAAGGACTGGAAGGAACATTCAGGAAACTATGTGCCTGTCAGCCTGACCTCAGTGCCAGGACAGTTTATTAAACACCTTGAGTGGCATCACATGGCACATGCAGGACAACTAGGAGATCAGACCCAGCCAGCATGGGTTTATGAAAGACATGCCTCTTCTCCCAGTAAGGAAATGGCCTCAAGTTGAGCCAAGGGAGGTTTAGATTAAATAGTAGGAAAAATGTTTGAAGTGAAAGGGTTGTCAAGGACTTGAACAGACTGCCCAGGGCACTGGTAGAGTCACCACCCATGGAGGTATTTAAAATGTGTAGGTGTGGCTCTGAGGCACATGGTTTAGTGGTAGACATGGCAGTGCTGGGTTAACAGTTGGACTCAATGACTTTAGAGGTCTTTTCCAGCTTAAATTGTGCTATGATTCTAAAATTTTTAAGAGGATACACATTTCAAAAAAAAACAGACTGCCTTAAAAATCCTATGAAAATAATAGGCTGCACTTTAAACACTCGTCCCCCGAGGGAAGGTTGTAAAAACAATAGTTGAAAGACGTATAATCATTTTGCCTAATGCACTACTGGAAGATGTTCCAATGCTCATCTGATGGATGCAGGAATAGAACAAAAATACAATTGTTCAGTTCAGGTCAGGTCAGGTGATCTTCCCAAAGATTCCTCCTGTCTCTTTTCTGAAGAAGCACATACCCAAGAGATTCTGTGTGCAAACTGCTACGCAGAAGGGAGTATGATACAATAATAAAAACCAACAGATACATTTAGCATAGTATTAAAAATTAAAAGCCCTTAGCGAAATCCAGTAGCTACTTATATGTATGCCCTCATCTTACTGCAAAACAATGCTTTTCTGAAACTCATGGAAAATTTTAGAAGGTGGTAAATAAGTGGATATTCTCCATATACAACATAGATTAAAAAGGGGTAAACAGGCTTATCATCATAGGCTTGTCTGCTGCATGTCAGTCCTGGACAAAAACACAGAACAGCTGTGATGGGGTTCAACAAAGAAAGTAATAAAGTCCATAAAAAATGTGTAATGGAAAAGGAATCTTGTGAAATTAATCCAGTCTCACATTTTGATGAGCTTACAAACAAGGTTTATATAAATAATAGTGTTGGTGTAATGAGCTTCTGAAAGGCATCAGACTTGAATTATTGAGTAATAAACTTGACTGGTTTAAAATAAATATAGTACAGTGTAGAGGAATTGGAGACCAGCTGATACCTTTCCAAATTAAATAGTAAATGGCAAATGTTCATTCAGCAAGTGAACTTTCTGTTCTACGTAGATGCTCTCTTACCAGTTGCTATTTAATGTTTTTATTGCTAACACAAAAGAAAAAGTTAAACTATTACTTAGTAAGCTTGTGAAATATTGGGAAGTGGTATGGAATAAAGACAACAATAAACCAAAGAAATCCAGAGAGGAATTCAGTAAACTGCACACAAGCCAACAGTATGAATGCAAGATTAAACAGTGGAGATATTGCTTCTCAGACATGAGCAAGGAGGCCAGAAGCAGACTGGAAAAAGCCTAGCAAGTGATAGAATCTAATTGGTTTAATATGGACTACCAAACTGACATATTTGGCAGTATAATGCATATACTAGAGATGTAATATCAAATAGAAGAAGCAAAGAAACTATGTGACAGCCCAACCTGGCATCAATGCAACTGCTGATAATATTCAGAGTCTATTTCAGAGGCTGGAAGTACTAAGAAACTAAAACGAATTGAGAGAAAAGCCACAAGAATAAATTAATAATTGGGAAACTTCATTCTGGAGAAAGACATGAAAAGATTCACCTCTTTAATCTTACAAAGAAGTCTGAGAGTTTTCTTAATCACACACAAACCATGAGTATTTAAAGAAAGAATAAGAATTAGCTAACAAGGTTTCTTCAGCCTTAAAAGACCTAGCAATGTCAAATAGACTTTGAGAACAGAAATAAATCCAGTTTCTTTGACAATTTTGCAAGGGCTGTGGGATACTTGCAGTCACTGGGAAACTTCAACTCTTTTAAAGTATCACTCCAAACTACAAATAATTTAAGAAGGTCCTGTGGCCTCTTGGTTTCAGCAACCTATCAATTAGGTGACAGGGCTTCAAATGATTCTGTGGGAGACTATTTTACAACCTAATAAATGTCATCTTCGGGAAAAGTTTCATGGGATTCTGCTTTTGTCTTTAACACACTACTAATAGACTACACTGAGTAACTGATTCCCTTGTTTTCTGTTCTCATCAAAGGACAATTAAAATAATGATCTTTCAGCAGATAATAGCACCTTTCTAATACTTGTAAAGAATAATCAGAGATTGAATCAAGCAATTAATTCTTAGTTCTTAGTCATTCCTCCAACTCAAGACACAAACCAATGTTCACTTAAGAACAGGAATATGTGATGAATGTTTCTTTCAGCCAAGCACTGGAGAAGAAGAAAATTTGTCATTTGTGACCCTCAGACTGCTATATTTTATGGTATCTCTACCCAAACCAGAAGACTCTGCAGAGAAAACTGAGATTCTTGCAGGGTCTGAAATAAATGTGCTCCTGTGGTTAACACAAACATCCAAAAAGCAAGTGAGGATGCAAAGGAGGAGTGTCTTATCCCTTTTGTCATTAGTGCTTTTATTTGCCTCCTAATCTCAATCCAGCTATTCAGTGTCTAAACACTGTGTTTAATTCCTTAAAACCACAGAGAATCATAGAATGGTTTAGGTTGGAAGAGACCTCAAAGAACACCTAGTTCCACCTCCTCTGCCATGGGCACGGACACCTTACAC